TCTCCATGGCTGATTTTCTATCCAAGTACTATGTTGATCCTGCTTGCTTATGTGCCATCAAGTCAGTATACACTCTCAGTGACCATGTATATTTTCTCCATGTATTATCATCTTGCTTAGCTCTTTTTTCAAATCAGCCAGAGTTGAATAGGCTACGTGATGTATACAGTGAGAAAAATGTGCACAGAAAAGTTAACACATTCCATTAGATTGCAGCAGATAAACATGGGAAATAAAATAATTCTATCTATGCTGTGATAGACAAACTCACTCAAGTCTTGTCTCCATGACTAGGCTAATTCTATCCAGCTAGTTATTAAAATGATTATTATTTAACTTTATAAGCTAATCCCTATGTTTGGTTTTTTTTCTCCCTTCTTTCCTTCTCTTTGGCTTTTTAGAGTGGGATGAAAATACTTTGAATGAACAACTAAAGCACAGATACCAACATAAGAAATGGGAACTCAAGACTTTGTTTATTGATTCTGTAAAATGGGCATCTGGCATATTCCACTGTACTGTAGTTTCTTCAGCAATAGTTTGATAGTTTCAGATGCTGGAGGGGATCAACACATAGACAGTAATAGATTATTTTGGTGACTAATGAAACAAGTGGCCCAAAATGGAGACATTAAGGGACTGCTATCATCTCTTTTGAATCCTATACCCGATGTCCTTCAGATGCATTGAAAATACAACTCCCCATGTTCTTGGTCAATGAAGAACTGCAAGCTAGAAATTTTGGGAGCTGTAGTTTTAACATCAAGTTGTCAGAGAATGCCAAATTAAATAAAATACTGTGGAATCATTTGTGCTGTCTAAGCTTGGTTGTTTTCTTGCAAACATTTCATTATCCAACTAGGTAACGTCTTTAGTACCGATTGGATAAAGTTCTGTTTAAATAACCTTATGACAAAAAGACACCCGCAAACATATTCTCTGAAGGACTACTAATCTTGACTATTTCAAAGATAATACCTATAAACTGTGTAGCCTTTCAAATTTATAATTCACTGGAGTATACATAGAACAGATAATGGTGTACGTTATGCTTTGGGACAAAATTGCTCTTCATCCATGAAAATGACCTTTGTGGTTTATTCTGCTTCTTAAATGTGTAATGCTGGATGTGATTCTAAAAAGAATCAACCAATCACCAAACCATATGCAGTTTTCTTTGGAAGTAAACCCACTGACTTCAGATCAATACATTCCAAGTATACTCTGGATTGTAGTTTCCCTCTGGTATTTCTCACTGCTAAGAGAATGTCAAGCATCCTAAGCATGCCCCTCCAACACTCTTGAGAGCGAGACACCCATTGCAATCTCTCTGGCAACCTGTTTGGATGTTGGTGCTGGGTAATCAGAAAAGAAAGTGTGAGTCACCAGCTCCTTCTTGGGTTGAAATGAGAATTGGTGCCCGATGAATGAGCTGAAAGAAAGCTGCTTATCATTTAAGTACCATATAACTAGATTTGGAAATTATCACACAAAAGAACAGCTGTAAAATGGCTTGTCTTCTCATTTTAATGACTTTAATTAATTAATTGCTTTGTTTCAAGTGGTTGGCTACTTTCCAAACAATTAAAAAAAGTTTCTTGCCTTGAAAACCCATAATCAACCATTTGGATTGATTTACAATTTCCAGCATGACTTCTGATAGAAAGAATGAAACATATTGAACTTTCTAACCTATTCTAAAATTGAGCTGGCATATAGGTGCTTATTAGGTCAGTTCTCACTTCAAAAGGTATTGAGAAGAATTGCTATGGACCAGGGATGGGATCTGACTGGTATAACTACCGGTTCTGTTGCTCTGTGTCACACGCGCATGCGCGAATCACGCGAGTGCAATTTACGACCTGCCTGGACAGCTGAGCAGCGCTGCATGAGGGTGCGCAGCAGTTGGAAAAGCCCTTTTTCCCTGCTTTTTCAACTGCAGCTGTGCTGCGCAAAACAGCTGCGGTTGAAAAAGCAGGAAACAAAGGACAGGTAAGAGCCCAGGCGGGTGGGTGGACCAAACAGCAGCAGACACAGAACCGGTTCTGTGTCTGCTGCTCTTCAGAGCTACTGGTTCTCTAGAGCCAGACAGAATCGGTAGAATCCCACCCCTGCTCTGGATCCTGTAATTGCTCTCTTCATCAAACAAGCTCAACTTTTTCAGGCTTTCATGTGTCTCTGAAAAAAACAAGTTGTGAGTACTTGAAGGACTCAAAAGCAGCTGCATTTTTTCAGGCTCCTGCAGAACCTGTAAAAATATGGGGCCTCTTGAATAAACAACAGTGGTACTGTGCTCTGCTCATTCTTCTGTGAAGTACTCATCTGAATCATTTCGAAAGCATGCACCACCCTACAATTCATGTTCTGAAAAATCTCCACAGTGTTAGAGCACCAACAACCTCTGGAGCCAAGTGGAGGTGAGGGACACTGGGATGACATTGGCCTTCTTCCAGATGTTCTGACTGAGATCTCACCTGGCCAATCCCACCCCTGCAGCTGTTCTTCATACCACATTTGCTTGTTGTCTCCTGACTACATTTTGTCTAACTTGCATTATTAGACATGCCACATGCTGGGAGAGAGAGAGAGAGCCCTTGCCAGGAAAAGAGGCGTCTCTCATAGAGTTTGACTCCAGTATATACAGTAGGTGAAAAAGCATTGCTTTGCTTATGCAACACAAATCACCAAATGAACTGAAACAAGTAGTGAGCAAGCATCAGGCAGATTGCTTGATGACTGGCAACAGAAGAACATGGGTGTTATAAAGACTAACCACAGCCCCTGTCTGCTGCCTTCAAGTGCCATCCTATTACTTCATTGGGACTGAAGCATGCAATTGTTACATCAGTTGGCTTCTCTATATGGAATGGAAGAGAGAGATAGATGTAAATGTAGAGATGTTACACATATCTCAATATCATTCTTCCCATAAGATTTTAATGTAAACACAATGTAGGTGTTCCTTAATTATGAGACAATCAGTTTTGCCTTTTAAAAAAAATTAAGGATGATCTTGTCCAGGGATGAGTAATATAATACCTGTAACCTTCCTCCCTTACTTACATTGTTTTCGCCAACCTATGCAACTCCAATCAATACATTAATCCAATATTGAGGGATGCTGAGCATTGTAACTCAGGTATACCTGAAAGCCCACCAATCATTCAATCCTGATTGGTTTACTGGATAGCCCTAAATAGTAGCAATTTTCTTTGGCCTATGAAGCTGTGTTTCCGATGGCTAAAAAAAGGAATAAGGCCCACTCTGCTCAGTAGATATTTTTAACAAGTGAACAATCAAACAACCCTTAAAAAATTCATCATGGTCAGGATCACAACATAAGAAGAAAGGTGGCATAAGGAGAAGGAAAACTTTCAGGAGGGTACACCTGTAGTGCCTTTATTTACTGTTCAACATATTTTACTTCAGATATATATGATGGAGACTTTGGGTTTCATCAACAGACATAGAATTTGTAGAAGGAAGGATAATGCATAGAAATACTATTGCAAACCATTTTTTAAAATAACAATTTAGAACAGAAAGAGTTAGAATCATTTGCTCAGGACAATGAAGACATCAAATATTTCTGTCTGAAGAACAACTTTGTGTCTGCTTTAAGCCCTAGATATACAGATTAATGTCAACAGTAAAACAAGGAGGCATGAAGTTTAAAATTCTACTCATGAGTTAAGGAAGGAAATCTTTAAAAATGAGGAAGAAAACATTGCCAATCTTTTAAAGTGGGCCTTATTTTCCATGTAAAAAGTGCAACCTAGCAAAACCTTGGATTTGATTGCTGATCTTATTTCAATGGGGCAGATACTTTAGGAAGTAAATCTATCTTTGTGTTACTGATATGATGAAAAGCAATACAGATTGCATTGTCACGCAGGAAAAATAAAAAGTGATTTTTATTTTACTTTGACTAGAAAACAAATGCAGGGGCAGTGATTCATTTACTTATGCAATTGAGGGGATGCTAGTCAAAAATCAATCCCCAGCAAAGTAACTTGGGACTAAATGCCACTGAGTCCAGACAGACATACTTTGGCTTCAATACACCAGGCAGTTGTTGTTGCCTGTGGTCAATGTTGCTGGATGTGGAAAAAGGAATCATTTCGGAAGGAGAATCCAGCCAAGTATTTGCCAACAGCTAGGCTGGGTGGGGCTGTAGCCCCAGCAGTAACTAATAATTTTTTCCAGAGCCTATAAATGCAGCTCTTTACTTGATGGAATTTAGAAGCCCAGATTTATGTTGATTCATTTTTTTTCCAGTTTAGGGATAATAAATTTCAGCAAGTCTTAAAATTGCACCAATTTATTAGATATTTTGCACATGCTCCGTGTGTAAAGTTGTGGGCAAGAGGAAAATAATACTCAAAACATACTAAAAATGAAAATTATTAATACGTGAAGAGGGGAAAGTGTGAGAGCTATGGGGATTGCAACGCAGGTAATTCTCAACTTCACATTTGTTTAGTGACGTTCAAAGTCACAAATATCACTGAAAAAGTGGCTTTTTTTTCACACTGCAGCATCCCCACAATCACTTGATAAGAATTCAGACACTTGGCGACTCATATTTATGACGGTTGTAGTGTCCCACAGTCATATAAATCACCTTTTGCAAAGAAAAGTCAATGGGAAAGCCAGATTCATTTAACAACCATGTTACTAACTTAAAAACTGTAGTCATTCACTTAACTGTGGTAAGAAAGATCATAAATTGTGGCAAAATTCACTTAACCAATGTTTCACTGTAAATGTTGGGCTCAATTACGCTGGTAAGTCGAGGACTACATGTACTTAAGCTTATAGTCCACTTTTCCTTCAAGGAAGAAGAGGGTATCCGACTGCCCCCACCTTGCGCCACGTTTAATTCCCAACAACTCCACTTTTGCAAAAGCTCAACGGGAAGGAGAATTTCTTCGGGCCCGTCCCAAAACCCACCACTCCCCAAACCTTCAACCTCTCCCTCGCTTCTTGCGCATACTGACCTGAAAGATGAGCACCTTGAAGTGGTTGCGGCGCAAGAGCTGCGCGTGGTTGTGCTCCAAGCGCTTCACCTGGGCGCACTGGCGGTCCATGCGATCGCGCACCTCGCGCGTGTTGGCGCTGACCTTGCGCGACTTCTCCAACAGCTTGGCCACGGTGTTGCTGGTGGACGTGTGGTTCTTGCACAGCTTGCTCAGGTCGCTCTGGATGCCCTTAACCGAGCCCTCCAGATCGATCTGCCGCTGCTCCATCTTCTGCTGCTTCTCCTGCACCGAATCCAGCATGTTCACCAGCTTGTCCAGGAGAGTCAGCACCGTGATGGCGTTCACTTGCGAGCTGTCCCGAATCGCCTCGCCCGGCGCCGGCGGCAGCAAGCTGGGGCTGCGGCTGCCCGAGGGCACCGGGCTGGGATTGCTGGCATCCAGAGGCCCATCGGAGTTTGGGGAAACATACGCGCTGCTCTTCTCCGCTTGCACACCGTCCTCCTCCATCGCGGCGAGGCTAGAGACACTGGGCCGCTGAGATCAGCTCCCTCCTTCGGGTGTCTTCTCGAGGGCAGGAATGCAATCTGCCCCAGCGCCGAGCTCCTCAAAGGCTTCTTTGCAGGAGCCGAAAACTTAAGAAAAGCTCGGCGCAGCCCCGCCCTTTCTGATCCCCAGATTCTGAAACCAGGAAGGGTTCAAGCCCGGAGTTCGTCGCCTGCAGGTTTAAATTTTCCCCCTCCGTCCCTCCCTCGCTCTTTCCTCCTCGCCCTCTTTTCTTTACGGGTGGAATGTCATATTTCACTCATGAGTTCACTGGCAAAGGCGGGGGCAAAAAAGGAAACAAAAAACAAACACCACAGGCCTGGCTCGGCGCCTCACCCCGCCATTGGTTACGGCCAGCCGTTGTAAGCTTTCGGGCGGGCTGCTCTGCTGCGGAGACAGCGCAAGGGATCCCCCTCCCAGTGCTCCCTTCGTGGTTTGTGTGTGTATGTGTAGGTTTTTGGTTTTTTTTTTAAATGACTTTATAGAAAGGATTGTTTTCGTTTGCCCTTTCTCTGGCAGAAAGCAAGGAAATGGCCTAGGGAAAGTCCAACCCGAGAACATATTATTTATGTGAGGTGACGGAAAGGACTTATTTCGAATGGGAACATGAACTCCGGTCCTACTATTCCTGATCTTACCAAAACTGCTCCTTTGCCTAAGGAGTATGGGGAGGCGGTAGGATCATCAATCATCTTCCTGCTCAGGTTGATTACACTTTGAAAGTAAGGGAAGAATACAAGCCAAACGGAAAACAAAAATCTTTGGGGAAATAGCAAGGCCGGCGTTTCAAGTTGGACAAGTGCACCCCACTTGACTAAAAGCAGTAGTTAAGCAAACGATCCCAAACATAAAAGGATTGAGGCCTGCTTTTGCACCTGGCTAATCCAAGCATCCTATTAGAGGTCTCCACCATACTTAATCAGGAGTATTGCCTTTGTTAGAGGCAGGCTTTTCTATGTTTAAATGTGGTAGGGATTCAGCGAAGTTTGAGAATCCTGAAGAATTCAAGGAGTCAGTGGGATTTGTGTTTAAAGTTGATCTGTATTGAAACACAGGGTTGCCAGATCGCAGCTTGGCTCTGCGGCCAAACTCGAGTCAAAATACGGCCAAATTCGGCCAAATTCTTTTCTCTCACGGCCATATTTTCTGGCCAAATTTTTTTATGCAATATAACATGAGGATATATTGGTTTTTTTAAACTGTTTTAAATAATCAAATAAAAAAATAGTCTTTATTCAACAACATGACATGATGTCATGGGAATTTCTCTGTTTCTTTATTCACATCCAGGCTAGGCAGCTCACTTCAAATAACCGCTACTACTGTTTGGAAAGCTCAGGCCCAAATGCAGTGATCCTGAGGAGGGGGGAGCTAGGGCATGAGGGTTTTTAGGGGGATTTCCCTCCCCGATTGAAAAAATATAATCACTAAACAAATAAAACGACACAAAAATAGCAATTATATATAGAATCCTTATGAAAACTGAATGCTCAATAACCATCTTTTCAAAAAGAGAGGAATTCTCCCAATAATTACATGAAAACAAAGTGTACTTCTAATGTAGCAATGTGAAGAAAGAAAAAGGTAAAAAAACAAACAAACTATAAGATCAAGTCTGTCAAGTATGATTGAAATAGGAGCAAAGTCATGAATGAAGTGCTCTAATATAGAATGTTCATGATATCCTCGTCAATATCCTCAGGATGATCTGGTTGACCGGCTTCGTTTCCGTACGTGTTCTCTGATGCGAACAGCTGAAGCATGCGTTCTGTTGCGCTGAAATCCATACAGCACTTTCCCTGAAATTGTAGATGTGTATGAATTCTGATGATGGCGTCCAACATTTCCGTCTGTAAGTGATTTCTAGCCTTCATCTTCACATATGTTACTGCAGAGAAAATGCGTTCTACAATGGAGTTACTTGTTGGTGTTGCAGTGCAGGACAGCACATACATTGCCAACTGTTCAAACGGCTGCTCACCCGCTTTGGACTTGTACTGCAACACCCCTGCCCAGAAGGTTGCTGTGTCACTTGGAATTCTTCCATCAAACACTGACTTCTCTGCCCAATGCACATGCAGAATTCTCCGATACTGCTCCTCAATCACAACTTCATTTGCACTTCGAAGATGAGGCATTGGCAGATCTTGAAATGGAACCCTGGTGGTCTGGCTCAACACTTTACTCGGTGACAAGCTTCTTAGACCTTTGAAGACTTCCATCGATGCCAGAAGGCGCTTCTCAAGCTGACTGAGGGCTTCACTCAGGAGGGTTGCATAGCGTGTCTTCATCTCCGTTGCCTTGTTGAGTGCGTCAGGGGAACGATTTTGGTTATTCACAAAGGAACGAAGCTCACTCATAAATTTGGCCCCATAATCAACTCTGTCCAGGTCAAGTGGTTTCCCTTTGCTGTCGATGATACGACCTTTCAAACTTTTGTAGTGCACGAGCAATTCTTGCACCATCTCCTCTGGGTCAGCATCAGTTGCTTGAAAAAAAGAGTTGACCCGCTCAAATTCGGCGATGATGGGGGACACAAAGTGAAAGTACAAGGCGTTCAGGGGATCTGACAACATCCCCAGGATCTCCCTGGCCTTGTACTGGCAGGAGGCATCGGCAGTGGGGACGACTGCTGAAAAGTAAGCCTTCAGCTCTTCCCAGTTGATAAGAGTGTTGTAGATGACTTTGCCCCTCACCAACCATCGCGTTGCAGACAGCTTCTGGAAAGGAAGAGGTGTTGCCTTTCGCTCATCTGTAGCATCCATCACTTTGAACAGATCTGAGAATGCTTCTCTCCGGAGGATACTCTTGCTGAACCACTTGGGAATTTCTGCTAGGAGATACCCAAGGTTTGATGGAAGCTTATCAGACACCTCGATACAGAGTGGAAGCGAATGACATATTCATCGGTTCAGCTGACAATGAGGTGATTGCTCACGAATTTGAGACCACACGGAGTTGTGCTCCCCAATCATCACAGATGCACCATCGCTGTCGAACCCGATGCAGTCAACCAGCTTCAGACCGAGTTCATCTAGTGTGTTCCTGAGTATTTCAAAGAGTTCTCTACCTGTAGCCCCAACAATGGGCTTTAGAGGAACAAATTCAGTCACAATATGTAACTTTGACTGGTTGAAATACCTGATGACTGGTTGAAATACCTGATGACAATACACAGATGCTTGTCGATAGTGATGTCCGTTGATTCATCGATGAGGATTGCAAATTTTTTGTTCTCGACATCATGCTGTTGAGTCTCCTTCAAAGCAGGGGAAATTACTTTAGAGATAAGTTTACTGCACTTAGTGCCATGAACTTGAAGGTTTGCGAGTTTGCTACCTTTCCCATTCTTCTTCATAAATTCTGCCAGGTGATCAACAGTGGACGTTGCGCAGTGACACGCTATAGTCACAGCAAGCTCAATTTCTATGCGTTTGGTTATCTCAATATCCTTGTCTATTTTCGGTTTCTGAAAAAACGGTAATGCTGCACAATGAGAACTAGCACTTACTCTTTCTGTATGCCCCTTCGTTCTTTTGTGGTTCGAAAGGCGAGAAAACTTTGGTGCGATTTGTGTCTTGCAAAGTTTGCACAATCTGTGTTCACTTCCGTCGCTAGATTTTGTGAGCCACAAGAACTTTTGTTCCCACGATTTATATTTTCTACCACTGTCATATTTCCCTTTCCATTTTCCCGTCGCTGCCATCTTCCATAGATGTAGAGTTGTTCACTTGTTCAGGGTAAAATATGGTTTAGAGACTAGGCTAATGCTAACGTAAGGCTTCCGCTTGCTAATATACATGCGCTGTGCACATACACATTACACATAGCTGCCTTACCATGCATGCAGAGTACACACACAATGCGTTTAGCTAGCTTACATGTACCACAGGCATATTCTTTCAGTCGCACATCTGGGATTTTCCGTGATGCTGCGCGCCGGCTGATGAGAAAACAATCCAATACTGAGATGTTTACATCCGGGTTAACATCTGCTTATATTATGCAGCACTGTTCACAGTCAGAAGGCTTCAGCCTGTGTATCACATTGTTTTTCAGAGGTTTTCAGACGACCTGACAGTCATTTTCATGTGAATATATTATATTGAAAACCGGTATTTGGCCAAAATTTCGATTTCACGGCCAAGCAACTTTCATACAGCCAAATTTCCAGCCAAATATATTTGGCTGGAGACATGATTTTTTTCACGGCCAAACAGATTTCTATATGGCCAGATTTCTCGAATTTGGCCGGAAAAACGGCCAAATGGCAACCCTGTTGAAACAGCCCAGATGACTTGCAGTAAAGAGATACTGTATATTCTTAATCTGATGGCACAATTTTAGTGGTTATCTGGATTTTGTAGTTCACACAGTTTAGCCTATTGAAGGGCTCACAAGAGGGCACTCACTAAATAGAGTAGACTTGTATGTGCTACGTTATTTATTTCATCCGGTCCAATAAATCCCTGGTACACTCAAATGTGTGCTGTCTTCACCTGATCAGTTGAACAAAAGTGGACTGCACCTTGAATTATCCCTATTCCAAATATCCACATGTTCTGTTTTGGAATAAATCTGTTGGCAAATTGGAAAGGAACAGATCCTTTGAAAAGGCTGTTGGAATTAACTGAGTTACTTGAGTTCTTATAAACAAACAATAACTGTCAAGTTATGAATGGAAGGAAAGGAAAGGAATATACTGCAGCATCTCCGGGATTCCTATGGAAAGCTTACTTTTCTTTGAAGGAAACAGAACTATAAATTTTACCCAGAGCTACTGAATCATCAAATCAGAAGTCCAAATCACCACTATATGTTACCTTACATAGAAAATTCCTACTCTATGCTGTCATATGGTGATCAATTGACAATTGACAGCAGGTAGATATGCTGCATTTGGTACAACTATTTTCTAATGAGCTTACTTGGTGAGGGAATTGTCCTGTAGGCAATAGAGATAACCCTCAGTTTACAACTGAAGTTGAGCCTGGAATTATGGTTATATGTTATGTTGGTTGCAAGTAAAAGTCAAGTAAAGGTTTTTGTGGCAAAAAACATTGTTTTTCTGTAAATGCAGGACAGTTGCTAAGTGCTCAAAATGTAATCAGAACTGGCCATCAGAACTTTGAATCTGGTACATAAATATCTTGGGGGGAGATCTGTGTAAGTTTGAACAGTCGCTAAGTAACTGATTGTAAGCTAACCTGTAGTTAGCTTTGTACAAGTTATCTTGCTGTGAACCTGTTGAAGGGCAGATAATAATGTAATAAATAAATAAATAAATATACTTAGCGTGTATTTCCTCTGATAACAACTGTATATTGTATGTCTTGTGCATGGAAAATCATGCAGGCATTTTT